AGAGAGAGAGAGAGAGAGAGAGAGAGAGAGAACGTGAGAGATACGTGGGTGCGGCCACAATAACTCACAAAATTAGAACCCTGAACCTCAAGGACAAAAAAAAAAAGAGAGAGAAAAGAGAAAAAAACAATTAAAAAACGATCTTGTCTTAAAACCACTGGGCGTCAGGGCGGGTGAAGGTCAGATTACCGTCTTCAATTTAACGACCCTGATCGGGTAAACAGTTTTGAAACCAGGTTCCCAGGAAACGTTTACGGCAAGTCTTAAAACGTAAATAAACACAGGACAGGTGAAACAGATTATAAGGTTCGTGCTTTTAAAAGAGCTTTCTTTTATTTGTTTTGGGTTTAGTTTTTACCCATCAAATTTATGCTCTCGTTCTGCTATGTCAGAAGCGAGTTTCAGGAAGAGAGATGGTAACGATAAACGTCATTTGAAGCATTTACAAAATTCGTTTACCCTTTTGTTGTAAAGCCAGCAAAATGTTGATCACGTCGGTTATTTAAGCAGCTTAAATGTTATCTACGCTAATCCCAGACAAGTTGAGTTTGGTGTGAATTCCACCCCCGCCAAAAATAGAAAGAAAAAGAAACCGCCTTCTCCTATTCTAAAAAAAACCCGGGAAATAATCATAAACAGTTCTGGGTCCTCAAAAGACCGGCTCTTTCCATTTCTTTCAGTCCCCTTGGGCTCCCGCTCTCCCGATCCCCCTCTCTCTCTCTCTCTCTCTGCCTTCCTCCCCCCTCTCTCTCTCTGTCTCTCTCTTTTCTCTCTCTCTCTGTCTCTCTTCCCTCTCTCTCTCTCTCCCTCTCTCTCTCTCTCTCTCTCTCTCTCTCTCTTTCTCTCTCCATCTCTTGGTTCTAAATTGGAAATTCACTGGATTGGGCCCCGCCTCTGCCAGTAAAAAGTGAACAAAAAGTAGAACAGAAATAGCATGTGATACTCGTATTCGCACTAAGTATGTCGAATTTGAAACCTCGTTTGAAGACGCAAAAGTACAAATTCCGAGTAAGAAAACACACAGGGCACAAGATGGAAGCCGGAACGTACGAAATATGGAAGAATAAAAATGTTAGAAGCCCGGAAGGGGCTGATTTATCTGTGTACGACGCATCCATGGACACAAACTTGGGGACAAATGGAAACTGCCAATCGGGCCAGATTGGAGGGTGGAAAAAGTCAGGATTTAAAACCTAGACTTCTTGAAAAGGTGAAGAAGGCGTCTCTCCCTTCAATCAATAAAACAAAAAACCAAACAAATACAAAACAAATTAAAACCAAACAATCAAACAAAAATCCTAAAAAAACCCAGGACAAAATACAACCCAACACAAAACAAAATCCCCACACAAACCCTATTCAGAAGCTCTCATAAAACAATAACCTACACAAATCTGGAGTGTTTCAATAACTCTAACGGTAAAAAGTTGCAGCAATAATGATTTACGGCAATAAAAATTTGCTTCTGAGAACACAAAGTGATAAGATTGATATGCATAAAGAATGTATTGCTTTCAGCTCATACGGGTCAGGAAAAGCGATCAGTCTCTTTAATGGATGCCATGAATGCTACGAATCCCTAGATTTGGAAAAATCAACAAAAAATTCAATGGGAAAGATTCCCCGACAAGCTGACAGCACGGATAAATGTATCAGGCAGACTTAGAGAGCTGCCACCGTATTTGTGCTCTGAAAGAATTCTTGATTAGGCCTTACGAAACCGAACAACTGGAATCGAGGAGTTCAAATGGCAGGCATTCGATCTGGTATTTCTACAATCGTGTATGCTCCGCTCTCTTCTTAAGAGGAAAGGTTAAATGAAATTAGAACAAGCAGTTATTCTTCTTCTTTCGCAACATTCCTCAAATTAGCTGTCTGATCTTTCCGAAAATGGCTGACGTAGATCTGTTGTCCGTTAGCACCCAAGGTCATGTACGCACAAACAAGCTGAGCAAAGAAGAGCGTTCTTGATGCCAAAGATCAAAGAAGCTCTTGCTAATCTTTTCCGGCTTCTAGTTCTTCCAAAATTTAAAACGACATTTGATAAGATTCAAGTCACGTACAAGCATTGTTGTAAAATTCCGTCTTACCTCCGTGAGTGCAGCATATAGAAAAACAGCATGAGCGCTCCCGTGATGCCCACCACGATCTGGACGTAGAGTATAGCTTTCCTGATGTCTGTATTGTATTCCATGTCGTGCACCGTTTTTTCCAGCTCCTCTTCATAATCTGATGCAAGGGTAAAGTTGGTCCCGTTGCCAAACGAGTCGTTGCCGGAGAGTATCGAACTCCAGGACACTAGGGCTTTGGTGGGGGTGGTCACCTGGGGGTTTCCCATGTTGGAGGATGGGCTGATGAGGGAGTCTGTTGCCATGGCAACTGGTTCTAGGCAAGTTTCTGGAGCTGCAGTGGGAATCTAGAATAGCGATGTAAACATTGATTATGATCGGTGATAAAAACACATGTAAGTCGAATATATCAATATAATAAATACAGGCTGTCTCGTTAGCTTTGGTCTATTATGTTGTTTCTGTTGGTTAGTATGCTCCAGCGTATAAGATATTCCGAATGTAACGTTCGGCCAATCCATCTAGACCAAGTCGACAGAGGTTAAGGAAATATTTATTTTTCCTTTTCGCAATACGAATACTGTAAGTTTTTCTCTGAAAAAGCCATTTGCTTTCCTATATTATGATATGTACCAGCCCTGAGTTTGTCCATAAAATTTCTCTTTTATGTATAAGTAGCTAGGAAGGACGAGAATGTATGAGTGAGAGAGGGAGAATGCAAAGTGTTGATATGATGTTATGATGTATATTTCATCCAATAAAGGATAATTTGAGTAAATTCTTACTTTATCTTTCAAATCTTATGGTTCTAGCCTTCTGGCAGGCCAGTCAGTTTCAAAGTCGAGACGAATCAAATGGAAGTCTTATTAATAAAAAATGTTACTAATTCTGTTAAAATCTGTAGAGAAGAAAATCTTAATTATTGGTTTCGTACAAGTACAGGCCAATTAGACTGGACTCTGAAAATATAATTATATTTCACTTTTAAACCGATTTTAGGGCAAAAGGTCTATCTTAAATCTTTACTTTGAGCAAAATTATGACCTTGAGAATACAAGCCTGCTTCAAATTTTCCTGGAGCATCATATTATTAAATTGTAGGCGGGAAAGGGGGTATTACCCTATCAGACAATGATTCGGTAAAATCCTCTCATCTTCTCATAAAGTAGCACTACACAGTACTCTGGTAATTTTTCACATGGTATGTCAAGACCGTTTTGATGTCTGCAGTGTAGTAGTTAGATGCCTCGAATTGCTCACAGAAGAGGTGAGTTCGATCCCCGAGTGCAGAAAATTTTTATTCGAATATATCCGTCTCTCTGCTGGAACCCTGTATACCACTGAGCGCGGGTTATCCTTGACAGGCAGGGTTGAAGCAGCCCATGAAGATGGGGGGCGTAAAGCATCTACAACTACAATAGCCTCTTTTAAGACTCTAGTAATCGAAGATATGTACCTTCTTTCTCCAACGCCAACAGACGACCTGTTACTTGTGGATAACGTCAACTCGGTAAGCCATTCTTTTGTCAGCCTAATACCAGCAAGCAGCGATGGCTACTTTGTCTCATGAAGAATTTGCGTATTATTGGACAGGAGAGCTTGTGTTTAGTTTAGAAAGCTGGCGAGGGGGGTGACCGGTTTCTCACAACTCTACAGCCGGCTTGCCTTGACTCTGAAAGAAAAAGAAATACATATCATTTTAAAACTTTGATTATCTTCAAAACCGACAGGTTGAGTTTCTGTCAAATGGCGCTATTGGTATCTGTAATTCGATTTGCATTTCCCGGGCCTAAAAACAGATCACACATTGTTGTGCAGCCAGCGATGGAGCAGGAGAAGAGAGAAAAAGGTGCCAATGTACAAGAACAAGACTAGACCTATGTCCAGTACAACCTATTTTATCGGAATTTTAAAGAAAAAAGTATCAATTCGCTTTAAAAAAAAACCATTCAGCAAAAATAGACTTGTACCCAGGTTTGTTTCCAAGTTTTCAGGTACACGCATTAGTGTGCTGGTTGATTTACGATAAACAGTGCAACGAGACAAAAACAAAACTTGGTTATGAATTAATTCTATGCGACCAATGGCCGGGCATAATGATATCAAGGTGTGCGTCTATTGCACAGTTGTCTGTCCCCTTCTACTGGGGTTTTGCCTTATTTGGGATAAAAAAAACATGTTGCATGATTCAGAACGCACTCGAAATCATTTCCAAGAAGTCGAAAGGCTGGAAGCGAATCCTGTATGTCAATTCGCCATTGGAATCCCATTGAGGAGTAACAACTCAAAATATTGGATGCGGGGATGGAGGGGTTGTAGTAGTAGTAGTAGTAGTAGTAGTAGTAGTAATAGTAGTAGTAGTAGTAGTAGTAGTAGTAGTAGCAGTAGTAGTAGTAGTAGTA